TCCAATGTAAGTCATTGTCATTTATCAGAGTTTTATAGATTACAGATTAGCTAAGAAGGAAAGAAAATTACTTCTATAGGTAACCATAATTTCCAGTTGAAGTGATGAGTATAAAGGAAAAGATCAAGATCTGAAGTTTTTACCTGCTTTTTCCCAGATCTAAAATTCATTTAATATTACAAGAGAGCATATAGTTAGTTTTCTTAGTTTTACCCATTGCATTTCCCCATTGTATCCAGAAAGCCCTTACCATCTCCAAAGGTTTCTGAAGGGGGAGCATACAATATAGTTTAAAATTAGACTCAAGCCCCACCATCACCTATGCCCAGCTTCCCTTTTAGACCTTCTAGTGCAAAGTTGTCAACTTTCTTTCACCTTAGCACAGTATATTTTGAGGCATAATCAGGATAGCACTTTATGAAATTTCACAGGTAAATAAGTCTGTTGAAAGACCAGAATTGGTTTAACAGAAGTGAAATGTGAGAAACTTCACATGAAAATTATTTTCCTTATGCTCTAAATTCTTACTTTAATATGTTACAACATAATCAATTTGCTTCTCCCAATTACTGGAATGATCAAATGGACTTTTAATGAAAATAGTGTATTTTTTTCTTTAAAGACTGGTAGACTTGTGCATCTTGCGGAGTGGTATTTTCATTCCATTATGTGCTTACAAATAAAAAAATAATTCATAGCAGAGCTTATAACTATTTTAGGAAATATTCTGACAACTGTTTTTAATAGCTAAACATAGAAGCTTTTTTGAATGTGTTGTATATCTTTAAAGTAAGCATTTTATTTATATCACCCCTTTAGTTGCTTTAAAGTAGCATCAGAGATATTTATAATGCTTTCCTTAAATATGAGACTTTGTCCATAATGAAAGTGCCATTTTTATTATTTCTTTTAATTAATAGTTATCGTATAAATAGGTGCTGTTTTTGAGGCGTTAACATTTATAACCTGGCTATCTTGATATGAAAGAAAACATTAACCTAAATAATGAATCTAGATAATATAATTGTTATGTACCTATAAATGTATGCAGTGACAGATTACAGATGCTTTTCAGACTGTGAATTGATTCCTGTTAAGAACCATAATTTCCAATGGGATATTTTTTTTTAAATATAGATACTACCAGAATTAAAATAATTTTTTTCTCAATATTTAAAATAGTAATCAATATATGCTGTATATTCATTCCTAAGTGGGAATGGGTTTTGTATGTCCTCTTATATGCATTATTATGTAACTTGAACCAGTGCCTAAAATGTGTAAGACCTGAGTGTCCCAAAACATGCAGAAGTGAATAATTCAGTAAAGCACCAGTATGAGCTTTTCTGTGTGATTTCACATCTCTGAATACTGAATATTCTAGATGGTTAATTCTATACTTAGCATTTCAGCACTATATCAGACACAATGCTGTTTTATAAAATACACTGAATTACAAACTTAAGATAATTTTAAGTGAAGGAGGCATTACTATTTTAGATAACAGTGAGGATAGTTTGATTAAACTATAATTTGAAATTTTTTTTACAATGCAATTTTGTCTTTATAGCTCAGGTATAATTGCTTCCAAGACCGAAATAATTATACAACTCTGTAGGTAACCCAGTGAATATACTTGTTTGTCTAGGGAACATTGTTTTAACCCCGAATAAAATCTAAAATTCCCCCAAACTATGTGTTCATCGGATTATGTTATATATCATTAATGGTCAGTTAATGAAGAATAAATGGTACTGAAAAAAGGCTTCTTTTGCTAAGTAAAGATTTGTTATCACGACTGCGATATATATTATCTTAGAGAAACTAATTGGAAAACAACAACAAATTATTAACTGCTTTTGATTATTAGACTCTAAGAACTTTTCTGAAATGACATCCTGGGCATCTCTTCAATTTATTTTTGCCAATGTCCCAGAAATATTGTATTTTTTATTTTTTAATAATGGCAGAGTTTTTTGTTTGTTTGTTTTTTATTCACAAATGAGTCTAATGTGACTCAAAATAGCTGCATTAGAGATGTTCAAATATCTGTTGAATGATTTAATTCTGATCCAGAAGCAGATAATTTTAAAATAAAAATTAAATAATTTTAAAATAAAAAAATAAATATATATATATATTTTTATTTATGCATACAGAACTGGGGTGCAGGGATGCAGGCCAGATGTGCAGGGGCGGTGAGAGGATTCCCCACAGACAAGTATCTGGAACAGAACAGACAGATTGAGGAAGTATACTGCTGAGGGGAGCAGCGGGAGGGACAAGAGAGATCTGCAGTGCCATGTGGATCACCTCGGGATCACTCTCACTGAAGTGACTGTGGTGGCCAGGTTACAGTGCTGTATTCTAACTCTTTGCACCACTAGGGAGGGCCGTGTTTCATCTTGTTTCTAAACTAGTTTTTCATTGTCTTTCACTCCATGGATCTGCAGTTGTGACTGTAATCAGCATAGAGTAAGCACTCTGGAATCTATGACATGCAGCCCAGAGAGACAGGAGCAATGCATGTGGCATGCATGTGTCTTTTACCTGGAGTCCATCTGTGACATATACCTGGTCTTGGGTCTTTGTTTCTCTTTCTTTCTCTTTCTTTCTCTCTCTACCCCACCTCCTTCAATCTTCTTTGTTCTCTCCTTGTCCAAAGTCATACCTGTTATATTACAATGATAAATCATAGTTATCTGTAGAATATTCCCATACACCATTAAAATAAATATGCTATGTTTGTGTGTTTCTCCATTCTCTTTCCTACCCTTAAAACTCCTTTTGGGAACATTTCACTCATATCATCAAGACATAGTGACATTTTTGGAAGGTCATATAGTCCAATAGATTGAGTCTCAGAAAAATTAGATATTAATTTTGAGACCCCTTGAAGATGCTATTGACTCCTGCACCTTATCAACTGACAAATAAGCATCATCCCATGGATAATATTTCTATCAAGCATGAAGAGACAGAAACCTGTAGTAGATAGTGTCCTTTTTCTATTCTGGTTTATTTTTGTCACATTTTTTCATTATAAAAAAGCCCATGAAAAGTAAGTCAAGAAAGATATTCAATGAATAGCCCTAATTCACAGTTAGAAGACATAGAAGTAAGCAAAGGATGAACCTGATAATTTCCTTTTAAATAACAGCACATTCAAGGTGTTCCACTGGGATCTCTTCCTCTGAAAAATTCCATTTTATCCTATTGGACTTCTTCAATATTAATACCAAAACAAAAGGGTTGGGAAATCTTCCAATTTGTATTTTTGAATTTCTTTTCACTTTTTTGGGAAGTATGTAAGTCCAAATGTACAAGTGGTAAAGTCCACATTGTGAGTTGTTAACGTGTACACATGAGTAAAATGTGCTGCTGATACATGGCTTGTGAAAACCAACGAGAATAGCTTCATCAGATGCATTAGGACACAGTAAAAGAAAAGTGATAGAAATATGGGCAAGGGTTTGAGCCAATATGGATCAGAGAAATGGATGGTGAAGAATGCATTGAAATCCCTGAAATAGATTCTCCTGAAGTAGATGCAGTATACTTGGTCAGATTGAGTGTATTAATAAGATGTGCTTCCTATCATTTTCACACAATAAGTGCATGGTTTAATGTAGATTGGCCCAACTTATGCATGCAAATGTAAAATGCAATGGGATCAGCTAGGATTGTCCAAAAGAGTGAATTAGATCATTATTAACTTTATGAAATGACTTGTATCATCCTTGGATCAAATACATGTCCATTTTATCCTTCTGGTTAGAAAATACACAGTTTGCTTATGACTTTGAAAACTTAATATGATTAAAGGGCTACGAAGGTGGAGGAAGAGAAAACCTGGGAAAAGTATCTTCATTATTCACTGGAAATGGAAATTATCACTGCTTATTGCTATGAAGATGTGGAGTAGTTGTCTCTGCTACTTCATTAATCTCACTGTCATTCCCCCTTTTATTATCTTATTTGAGATGTAGACATTTAAAGGATGTTCATATTGGAAATGACAAATTCCAGATATTTCTAGGATACATTTGCTTTCTCCATGAACATATATATTATTACCTATTAACTGAACCTTAATAATTGTCATGTATTTTATACACACATATATGTAGTATATGCACTTGTGCATCCTTCTAGTTGAGTGCCCACTGTATCCATTATTACAGTGTTTCTATTATGCACTTTTATGTTTTCTAGTTGTGGACACTTTTTGGATACATATGAATATCTTCATATATTTACATCGCTATCCATGTATGTACATGTGTATGCTTCTGTTCATGGGTATATTTTCAGTAAAATATGCATGTTAGTTGAATGCCTTTTATCTGCCCTGATTTCATTCCTATTTACCAATTTCATGTTGTTTAATACATAAATTCTAAAAACACAGATACCTATGTATAGTGAAGTGAATGTCCAATACAATTACAATGAATATAGTCCTATTATTAATTTTTTTTAAAGATTTATTTATTTGTGCATACAGAACTGGGTGGGGTACAGGCCAGAGGCTCAGGAGCAGTGAGAGGCTTCACCAGAGACAGAGTGGGGAGCAGAACAGGCAGATCGATGAAGTACACTGCTGAGGGGAGCAGCGGGCGGGTCAGAAAAGGCCTGCCACGCCATGTGGTCACCTCAGGGACAGGCGGGAATCAAACTCATGCGGAAGCGGCTTTAGCTTCTCAGTGCTGTGCTTTAACCCGCTGCACCACCAGGGAGGGCCCCTATTATTAATTTAAGCTGTGTAATGGACACACCTTATTAACATCTCAAATCACCTTTTTATACAATCATTCTCATTCTTTGTGTGCAATTTGACCTATTCTAGTTAAATACATTTGGGAGACACACTT